TTTTAATTTAACTATTAATTTTTAAAAATATTAAATAAAATATAAAATTTTAAATAAGTCTATTTTAAAAATAATTTAAGAGTACGCCTTGTATTACCCTAACTCCATCTATACACGTACACTCATTTGATAGCGAAACTTGTAGAGAAAAACAATCCTGTATTCTATATATTTATTTTTGGCCATCAATTTGGTATTTATATTATATTCCAAAATGTTTTATTTCTAAGGCTAACCGGTCAAGTGTATTTTGCTCAATGATATCATTTCGACCTGGCATGAATGATCAGATCAAAGAGTTTATCTGATTCTCATAACTCTACCCAAAATAGTAATTGAAGATTTTTTTTTTTTTTTGTCTTGGTTGTAAAATGGGAGGCAACTGCCTCCCATTATCTAACCTCACCCACATGTCATATGACTCAAATTTAAAATCTCTTACTTTCAATGAAAAAAGATGATCACTGAAATATTTAGATCGTTCGCGTAATTGAAGTTTTTTTAATTACCCACAATAATTGATTGTTACTTGTTAGATAGCTAAAAAAAAATGTTATAGGTTGCATATATAATAATTTAAAGTGATACTAAAATTTTAAATTTAAAAGTTTAATGATTTTATGAGATTTGATTAATTGTTAGATATCTAAAACAATATCATAAGTTGCGTATAAAATGTTTCAAAGTCATATTAAAATTTTAAATTTCATGATTTAATAAATTTATGAGATTTAATTAATTCTTATATACGTAAAAAAAGTGTTATAAGTTGTATATATGACCTTTTAATGTCAGACTAAAATTTTAAATTTCAAATTGACTACTATCAATTTGGTATGTATATTATATTCCTAAATGTTTTATTTCTAAGGCTAACCAGTCAAGTTTGTTTTCCTCAATGATATCATTTAGTTGATTGTTACTTGTCAAATACCTAAAAAAAATGTTATAGGTTGCATATATAATATTTTAAAGTAATACTAAAATTTTAAATTTGAAAGTTTAATGATTTTATGAGACTTGACTAATTATTAAATATTTAAAAAAAGTATTATAAGTTATGTATAAAATGTTTCAAAGTCATATTAAAATTTTAAATTTTATAATTTAATAATTTTATGAGATTCAATTGATTCTTATATACATAAAAAAATGTTATAAGTTGTATATATGACCTTTCCAAGTCATACTAAAATTTGAAATTTGAAATTGACTAACGTCAATTTGGTAGTTATATTATATTCCAAAATATTTTATTTCTAAGGTTAACCGGTCAAGTGTATTTTCCTCAATGATATCATTTCAATTTGGCATGAATGATCAGATCAAAGAGTTTACCTGATTCTCATAACCTTACCCCAAATAGTAATTAGAATTTTTTTAATTGCGCAAAATAGTTGATTGTTACTTGTTAGATATCTAAAAAAAATTTGGTACTATTGGGACAATTTTTTTGTTTCATTTTTTTGTACAACTTTCACATGTTATTAAAATTTTTTTTTAGATGAATCAAATTTTATTGTAATGAGGAGTACAAGTGGTACCCAACTCTTAGTCTCCAAGAGACATTATAGAAGATAGCCTATGAGGACATTATAGAAGATAGCCTATGAGGACATTCAAGATTCAAAGCTGAATGTCTGACAACAACTCTAGTTTTTAGTGATTTCTTGTGCACATAGGCTAGGGAAATTATTCACATGTCATTAAATGAATAGATACATTTAATATCACGAGTTCCACATGAATTAAAAGAATCAATCATTTTAATAATACATTAAGTTGTATAAGAAAGTGGGACAAAATGATTCTCTCAATAGCATTTCCCAAAAAAAATGTTATAGGTTGCATATATAATATTTTAAAGTGATACTAAAATTTTCAATTTAAAAGTTTGATGATTTTATGAGATTTGATTAATTGTTAGATATCTAAAAAAAGTATTATAAGTTGCATATAAAATATTTCAAAGTTATATTAAAATTTTAAATTTCATGATTTAATAATTTTATGAGATTCAATTGATTCTTATATACCTAAAAATAGTGTTACAAGTTGTATATATGACCTTTCAAAGTTACACTAAAATTTTAAATTTGAAAGTTTAATGATTTTACGATATTTAGTTGACTTTTAAATACCTAAAAAAAGTATTATAGCTAGGTTGCATATATGATGTTTTAGAGTGAAACTAAAATTTTAAATTTCAAATTTTAATAATTTTGTGACAAACTAGTAATAATTTAGAAATGTAATAAGATAAAATAGCTTCTACATTGTTACAAATTATTAAGAGCTTAGTTGAATCCAAAACTTCCTGCAAAACGCTCAGTATTATGCTGGAGTAAGGACGTTCAAACTTATTTCTTTAAAATCATAATACATGTACTTAAGTGATAAATTCAAAACTTTTAAGCGTCACATTTTTAATTTAAATCTATTTATGGTAAGATAGTGAAGAAAAAACAGTGTATGGAATTTGACTTCCAAGCCTTTTCTTATTCATTTCTTATAGTAATTTAATTATGAGTCACGTAACAAAATGCTAATGTTCCGTCCACAACACCAACACTCCATTGATACGTAATTGAATTGGTCAAGATTAATTACCATAATTTTTTTATCGGCTACCCATTTGTAGACAATGGGGCCTAATTAAATTGGTTGCATCATAGAACATTCATATATACATCTTATACAATCAATAGCTACCAACCGCTACCATGTCCTCCACAAGAAAACTTCTCCGATCCAATTTCCTCCTCATATTGTTCATTGCAGCGAGTTGCAGCCCACCGGATGACCCAGTCAAATGCTCAACAAAAGACTCCGACTGCACCATCACCAACTGTTATGGCATGTTCCCTGATCGCAGCACCTGTCGAGCTGGGAACGTGGCCTACCCAGGCACCGAAGAGGAGATCGTTTCCATTGTATCCGCTGCAACCAAGGCCGGTAAGAAGATGAAGGTGGTGACTAGTTTTGCTCACAGCATCCCCAAACTCGCCTGCCCTGACGGTGTCGATGGGTTGCTTATTAGCACCAAATATCTCAACCATGTAGTAAATGTAGATGCTGCAGCAATGACAATGACAGTGGAGAGTGGAATGGCCTTGAGTCAGCTGATCGAGGAGGCGGCCAAGGCAGGACTTGCATTGCCGTATGCCCCCTACTGGTCTGGCGCCACCATTGGGGGCATCCTGAGCACGGGGTCTCATGGCAGCTCCTTGTGGGGCAAGGGAAGTGCAGTTCATGATTACGTTATAGGTATGAGAATTGTAAGTCCAGGAGGGCCTGATGAAGGGTATGCCAAGATCCGGATTCTGAATGAGAGTCACGAGGATCTGAATGCAGCTAAAGTTTCTCTAGGAGTTCTTGGAGTTATTTCCCAGGTACACACAAAATTTAACATGTG